TTTCATAAACTGCCAGTGCCCCTTGCATGGAGCCAATTTACATTCCATGGTGGTGAAGGAGCATTTTGAGGCATGTCAGTCATGAATATGTGTCTTTAAAGTGCACCAATTTTTTTGCTTCCTCAGCATAACATGCATTCCTCTGTTCATGTTCACATACTTGTACACAGAGACACACACTGACGCACAGACACACACACACTTCCTGGTCAAAGCATGGTCACCTCCCTTGTCATTCCCATATAAGTATCCCACCATTCCCATCCCATCCATTCCCCTCTAGACAGTTTCTTATTGTAGTCATACAGGAAATTTTAACATTCCGCTCGCAAAGAGGACTGCAGCACATGTCTTTATTTAGTAGTCTAGACAAAATGCCAGTTGTGCTGATTTGAACATTAGAAAAGTCTTACACTTTAAAAGTTAAATCTGATTTAAAGGTTTGTTGGATGGAAATTAAAGCAGAGGAGGGGTGTTGAGAACGTAAACACGGTCTTGCCCAAGGACAAAAAAGGTTCTAAGTCAACAGGTGGGTCCAGGGAAGCCAAAGTTTGAGCTGACTAAACCCAAACCTACCAGTAACCCCACTTATTTTAAATGAAAATACGTTTTCATTGATGATTTAATGACAGTTAAGGAAGAAACTGTATCTAACTGCAATAAAGGCTAACAAATAATGACTGGGAGCATCTTTAACATGCATATTTAATTACAGTTGAAGTTGTACTCATATTTATTTCTCATTAAACATGAGACCCAGGTTATAGCTAAGTGAATCCCTAGTCCTGGATTTGACTGACTGTCACAGCATATAGTTGTTATTGCTGTCACATAAGAAGTTCCAAGATGTTCTATTTGCTCTTTGCAGTTAAGTATTGAAAGTCTAAAAGGCAAAAAGAAATTTATTTTTTTATCACAAGTTGTACTGCAGCACATAGAGGGAACCAATTTGTCTAGACAGTGTTTGTCTGCGGTGCCACCCCCCCGGCAGACTCCAACATAGAACAGTCCACTCTCAATGACAGTGTGATAAAAGATGCGCAGCATCATCCATTGTGTACAGGGTGAAAAGAAAGGGACCTAAGCAGTACCCTGGGAGCCTCAGAACAAAAATTAAATTAAAATTGCATATAGATAAATGGCAGGTTTAAAAAAAAAAAAAATAGATCGAAACTATTTTTTTTCCTGGAAAAAAACAAAAAATAAACACTATAAAAATAGTGTAAAAACTCAAAACTACACAGAACTGCCGATCAGGCCGACAGATAGCAACCCTAACCATCAACAGTGGCCTTAATGAAGAAAAATTATTCAGCCATTAATTAAAATCGATTGTTTTTTCAATAACTATTACTGTTTTTCTGGCCACATGAATACCACACCAATAATTATTTCTATTTAGATTCTGTCAACTATTTAATATGCAGATTTTGACATTAATTATACAATGGTTTAATCAGATTGGCAGCATTGTTAAGCATCAGCCAATTCAGTAGTTGAAAAAAGCTTTAGGTTATTTAACCTTATAACGCCATATGTGTCATATTTGATACATACAGTTTCTGAAATATTTTGCATCTTAGACCTTTTGCATCTTTTAATGGTAAACACTTTCCTCAAAACCCTGTTTTACACAATCAGATATACCTGATAATACGCCAGTCTTTTTGACTTATCGCACGGTAACAAATTATTAATATTCCAAAATTATTTCTATCAATTGTCTTATATTTTCTTAAAGGGTGAAATAAAGAATTCATACTAAAAAAATAAGTATTTTTTCCTTCTTTGGATCAGGGTTAAAGGAAGTTTACTTGGCATTTAAAAAAGCTTTCAGTGCCAGAACAGGACACAGTACACACTGTACAGAGGTAACTTGTTCTCTAGATTAGCATGCACACCATTTATGTTCGGAATACTCCAACTATTTTACAGCTAAATATTAATTGGCCACTTTTATTAAGTTTGGGTCTGTGATGCATACAGTTTAAAATGTTGAATTTTAAACTTCCCGTTTGACGGGGAAGTGTCACTTATTGTAGGTCTGCGTGGTGCGAGAGCAAAAAGACCATGCAAGCTTAAGTCTCTGTGCTAAACAGGAAGTTGCTCAAGGTCTGCTCCTTAGCATACAGAACTGGACTGAATGTCCTGCTGCGTTTCTGTAGTGTCAGGCTCAAAGTGGTGTGTACAGGCTGGTGGAGAGAGTGACATTCCTTAGTTTGCCTATCACTTAAGCTGAATACAACAGTTTTTACTGGAAGAGGTCTTTAAATTTGTAATGGGCCATACAGAGACATACAACTGTGCACACACACACACACACACACACACAAACACACACGCACACACACACACACACACACACACACACACACACACACACACACAC